AGATTATGCGAATTCTCAATGTATTCCTTCATATATGTACAGAGTGGAGACTGGAATAAATTCGTTAGCGGGAATGAGGTGAATATTTTTTCTGAAAATTCCCGACATACGTCAACGATCTAATGTATTCACATACTTTTTGCAAGCAACAAGCAATATAGAAAATATATTCCTCCAGAAGTAGCTGTTTTTATAGCGCAGAATAATAAATTTAGTTTTTTTGCTGTATTCATACAGTTCGAAACGAAGTGTTATTGCAAATTGGTGGAAATACCCTATATCACTGTCACTAAGAGCCGAACTTTTGATGAAAATACGTTGAAAATATATTGAACTTCGCAATTATATTTTGATTACATACGACCCTCAAACGAACTGCGAACTGAAATTTCCCAATGAGTAGGGTTGCATTTGAAAAAAATATGTTGGGGTAGATTGCTGCTCCCCTGAAGGATTATTTTCTCCATATTGCTCGCCAACCTGTATATAAATCCATTTTTTCATGTTCATAATTCAACTTTCTTATTTCAAGAAGACACATACATTTCTTCGATGCATGCCAACATATCTATCACACAATATTTTTATCGAATAAGTCGATAAAGGTTTGAGTGAGGTAGATACCTATAGGAAATGATCATCAAGTAATCTTCTTCAAATTCAATTTTATTCCGTATGGAGTCAAAAAATAGTAGGTGCTCGTTGAAAAATTTGAGTCTCTGGCAATTTTTCAATGCGACATTTATTTTGAAAATCTTCCGCAACCATATGGTACAAAATGGGACATCATGAGTAGGAAACTACGGAAGTAATTATTTTCAGAAGAATTTTATTATCTCGAAAATTCAGATTGCGAGAAGGCCAATCTAACCATGTGAAAAAATAGGTAGGTTTCTATTTAAAATCGACGTTGTGGGGACGACCATTTTAGGTCTGAACGTCCGGGACCTTCTCAAGACGTAGGTACTGAATACATCCAACTCTGGACGAATAAATTGCATAATGATAATGAAATCATTGCATATAAGTTATTGTATCTCCGATCTCTGATATCTTTTCATGTAGGAACCTTGCAAACATGAACATAATACAATTATTCTCACAATGCATTGGCGCTTTTTGGCGCATATCTCATATCTCATTCATCACATCAATTTATCAATGAACTTACTAGTATATGTATTCGTAGAAAAAAATCAAGTTCCTGTAGCGGAATTCGTCAAATTCATGTTGTTCAAGAAAAAACTAGTGAAATAGTTTTTTTTCCATAATTTTAACATCCTGTGAATCTTATTAGGCAATTTGCATTTTAGTACACACGACGTTGATATGAACTTTTTGCTTCGAAATAAAGCGAGGAATCTTGAATCAATCAAAGTTTGTCGGACCTATTCCGACTCACCCTGTATTTTTTTCTTATGTTCTGGTTCCCACGAAAAGGGATATTCTGTAATGTTCAGAGAACATCGTGAGAACCAAGGAAAATAAGGTAGGAATTGGTGTTTTTCTTGAATTTCTGGAGGTTATATGCCTCGGGGAACACCTCCCTTGGCAATATGTTCCAGAGCCTCGCTGTTCGTTGGATCATCATCGAGTTTTTGGAAAGAGATGTTCTGCAGGTCTCCAAAGTCACCACGAAGGGGTGCGAAGCCTTAACTCGACGGGTTAATCTCGCGGGAGGAACAATCGTTGATATTTCAGAAGAGCATCGTCTATGGGAATATCTATAAAAAAGAGCCAGATCGCCAACTTTTCCACGGTGTTCCAGAGAAGTGAGTGAGTGTGTGAGCGAGGCATCATCCACGAGACGAATTGCCCTTTTTTTGAACAGAATCCAACAGTTTCAGGGTATGTTTGGGTGCTGCACTCCAAATATGGGAACAGTATTCCAGGACAGGTCGGATCTGTGCCTTATAGATCATAAGCAGCTGACTGGAAGTGAAATAGCTCCTGGCCCGAAACAGAAAAACAATTTTTTGGGATGCACTTTTAGCAATTGATCTCACGTGATTTTCCCAAGGAAGGTTATTGCTGATAGTGATACCAAGCATCGAAATGGATGTCTTCAAAGGTATGGTTAGTTCTGACATGCTTATATTTGGCACAGTGAGATCGGCTTTTCTAGAGAAAAGGCATGCTTGTGTTTTGTTTCCATTCTAAACCGATGAAATTTATGGGCCTAGTAGATATAAATAAATAGAAGACTCACCAATTTGCACTATCACATTCCTTATCTGTGAGCAGTTCTGCTGTGTGTTTCAGTCTGATGGAAATTCTAAATAATGTAAAACTAACAACTGGAAACTATTGTCGATAGTTAAAAATCTCTTTGTTGTGATATAAAAGAGTAGGGTGTATATGCTTGACCAGTAAGCGTAACAAGCCTATCGAATCGCCAAAACAATAAATGCATATATTTCATTGAATTTGCTAGCTGATGAGTATGCTCTAGGTGACACATTATGTAAGTGCCATCCACCTGTTGAACTTCTGCATTTTTGACAGTAGAAGAAGATATTTTCATCTTTCTCGAATGGAAAGGAATAAATATTCACTTAGCACATAACAGGGGCGAAAAGTGTAAGAATTTTAATCAAAATAGCCTATACAAATGTTTAAACAAATTGCCGGAATATATATAACTAGCAGACCTCGCAAACGTTGTTTTGCTATACAGTGTGTCCCACTTACCATGCTCACCATGGGTATCTTTTTTAACGGTGAGAGATACGAGGTCGGTTAAATGACACCAAATGTGGAGTTTGTCAAGGCCAACTATAATGTGAAAGAAATATTTTGCTAAAATCCATTCGTTTTTATTTTATACGCAAAAAACAAATTTTGATCATTTTCATGTCTCCTCCGTGACTTCTTTATTTATGAAAATATTCAAATAGAAATTTCACATTCTCATGGCAGTTTTTCAAAGTGATTTCGAAAAAAATATGAAATTTATACCATGTCTTCTAGAATTTGAGATATCAGCACCAACTTTAGTTTTTCAAATGTAGGTCATAGCTCACTATGACTTAGTTAGAAATCACTTTTTTTTCTCTTACAGATGATATGTCGCAGTAATAGTTTTGTGTTGATAGCAACGGAGTTATCGTCATTTATAAAAAAACGAAAAATTATTCGGAAGCCGCCATCTTGAATTTATAAATTTTACCAAGAAAATCATGATCACCGGCCTCGACAACCCCCACTTACCAATTTTGAATGGAATCGGACCAAATCTTGTCCTCCATCTTGGAGCAGCCATTTTTTTTAATTTCATCAAAAATTCCATAATGTATTGTTACCGAAAATATGAACACCTGCCAAATTTCAAGTTAATCGGACTTATGGAATTTTTGTTGACATTGAAAAACATGGCTGCTCCAAGATGTCGGACAAGATTTGGTCCGATTCCATTCAAAATTGGTAAGTGGGGGTTTTTGAGACCGGAGATCAGATTTTTTAGTTAAAATTTATAAATTCAAGATGGCGGCTTCCGAATGATTTTTTGTTTTTGTATAAATGACGATAACTCCGTTGTTATCAACACAAAACTATTACTGCGACATATCATCTGTAAGAGAAAAAAAAGTGATTTCTAACTAAGTCATAGTGGAGCTATGACCTACATTTGAAAACTAAAGTTGGTGCTGATATCTCAAATTCTAGAAGACTTGGTATAAATTTCATATTTTTTTCGGAATCACTTTGAAAAACTGCCATGAGAATGTGAAATTTCTATTTTCATAAATAAAGAAGTTACGGAGGAGACATGAAAATGATCAAAATCTGTTTTTTGCGTATGAAACAAAAACGAATAGATTTTATCAAAATATTTTTTCACATTATAGTTGGCCTTGACAAACTCCACATTTGGTGTCATTTAACCGACCTCGTATCTCTCACCGTTAAAAAGATACCCATGGTGAGCATGGTAAGTGGGACACACTGTATACATTATTTCTATAAAATATCTTTTCAGTTCAATATATTCATCAAGACACTATTATTATTTCATTTTCTACTTCTTTTTAGTTCCGCTATCTATAAAAGCGTGTTTCTTTAGTTTTTTAAACTACCGCATTTATTTCACCTTCTTTTTAGTTCACTTGAATTTCAGATTTTGACGAAAGAATCATAATATCCGACTCCTATGAAACCCCAGATGGAAATTTTGAATAGAATCAGAGAACATAATTACGAAAGTCGTCCGCTATATTGGATCTACCATCTTGAATTCCGTAATTTTGACGAAGGAATCATGATTCTTGATCCCGAAAACGCCCAATTATAAATTTTATATCGAATCGGTATATAATTACATAATTCGTCCGGTATATTGGTTCCACCGCCTTGAAATTCCAAATCCCGCCCTTTCTAAATTTTGACAAAAGAATCATAATATCTGACCCCGACAATACCCAGGTAACAATTTTGAAGAGAGTCGGATCATAAATTACAATGATCGTTCGCCATTTTGAGTCCGCCATCTTGAATTTCCTAATTTTGACGAAAGAATCATAATCTCCGACCCTGAGAATCACCATCAGATAAGGAATATATGATAATCCCAGATCACGAAAACCCCTAGCTAGGTATACCAATTTTGAAAACAATCGGATTATAATTCCAAAACTCGTTCGCCATATTGGTTCCGCCATCTTGAATTTCCAAATTCCGCCCGAATTTTCAAATTCTGGCAGAAGAATTATGATCTCCGACCCCGAAAACTCCGAGATACCAATTTTGAATAGAATCGGACCATAATTACAAAATTTCAAATAGAAAAGTTTAGGTGCAGTCAGGTGTGACCCTGTATACCTACGATTCATTCAATAGCATATTTCGAGTGAGCATCATCAAATATACTAAGTGACCGAATTTCAAGTCATTCGATCGCGCGGTTGATTTTTCACAGGGGGGGGACATTTCAGCTGGGACACGGTGTATATTAGGATTTCTATTGGTGAATGTGAAGTGTGGATGTAAAGAAAACAAAGTGGTGGAATTATGACAAAATTGTTTATTCAAAACCAACGAAAGTTCCAAACTTCGAAGATTTCAAAGCTTTACAAGCTTCTTTGGCGATAATTCGAACACCAGCAAAGATGCCAAAAAATAACAATAATATATATGCACAGTGGAATACAAATAAATACAAGTGAATAAAAGTCAATGTTCTAAATACTGATATACCTACAATTTGTTTTTAAAACAGCTAATACCACATTCAACATTCACAGTACGTATGAAAAATGAATTATTTACACCTCTGGTCGATATAACACAATAAATAAAACATTACAGCCTCGTTTCCATAATAATTGTCCCCTCAGACATCAAATGTAACAGATTCTGATGAAAAAATTCAGTAAATGACCACCACAAGATCAACTATAAATATATCAAGAAAATTGTATAACTTTTGAAAAGTGTTTGACTTGCCCCTGTATTCAAGGTTTTTCATTTACCGAATTATTCAGTGAACCCACATCACAATCGTCCAAACAATACACAATTTCGAGCCTTTACGAATTCACACTCTCTACCTCCTCTTTCTCCTGAATCTTCAATTTTTCCAAACTTACAGAAACTTTATTAATGTCACTTTCACTCTTCACATTCGACAACTGCTGACTAGAAGCCGAAGCGTGGCTATTCGACCTGAAACAACGTTGAAAATAGCAAATAAGTATAATTTTTTATACGTTTCAGGTATGTTTCAAATATGTCTCATAGATGTATCAATGATGTTTCAGAGATGTGTCAGAGATGTATCAATGATGTTTCAGAGATGTGTCGAAGATGTGTCAGATATGTATCAGATATGTATCAGATATGTTTCAAATCTGTCAGACATGTTTCAGTAGAAAAATTCACCTGGAATGACCTATGGGAGTCTGAATCTGAGGTGTCGGTGGTGTTTTAGCGCCGGCGGAAATTTGTCCAGACTGCACTTGCATGTGGTACTTGTAGGTGTTTTCTGTCGACTCCACCACGCCTTGGGTGAGGTTCAAGCTCCTTCCTCTGATGCCAGTTTCTTTGGTTTTTGGTGACCACCAGTTGACGAACGAGCCGACTATCGGCACGTGTCTGATGAGCCCTTCTTGCCACAACTTTTCGTCGTTTTCTTTCTGGAGGTCGAGAGTGGCGGTTTCTATTCCTGAAATGGTTGTTTTGGTATGTGATAGGGTGGTTTATGAGGAAGAGTGGGGAGGTGGTATACCTTTTTTAACGATCTCGCTCATGGAATCGAGGACTCTGGAGTTTTCTTCGACTGACTGTCCAACTCGCACCACCAAGTTGAGCAGCTCTTCCACATCTGATTGCGGAGTCAACATTCCGAACCTATAAGACGAGCATGTATTCAAAATTCCAAGAGTTGGGAGTCTGTCATTTGAACTTTCCACCGTTCAAAAACATCTTATTAGGTATCAGATATCAGTTACTTTCACCACAGCCCTCTCTATTATCAAGCCATGGTGAACAGTATTGGCAACAGTGTTCGAAACTCAGCCAAAATGGATATACAAGATTTACTTAAATTATGACTTGCCACAGCAACGGAGTAAAACTTGTTAAAGACAGTGAATATCGATGAACTATATATAAACACCTGGAAGGAAGACGGTCGTTCTCTCGAGTAGCACAAAGTGTGTCAGGGGCAGCTGCAACAAAGATAGCATGTTTTACGGTAACCTGTCTCTTTCCTACTCGTGTTGTTCAATGGTGGATTGGTGTTTACGTTTTCTTTTATCTAATAATTCAAGTACTTTAGATTTTTTTCTCTCATCTGAACAGGCGAGAAAGTGAAGACATAAGTTCATTGTCTTTGGTTATGTGAAATATCTATTCATTTGGCGTGTTTTGTTTTATCAAAAGGACTGAATTTGTTGGTGTGAACACTGTGAACTGATTGTTGAGGAGGTTTGTGATTTCATATTGATAAACAATGGTGATTTATTGTGTCGCCTATGGATGCAAGAACGAGCAAGACAAAAGGAAATTGTCATCCCATGGGTAAGTTGAATATTGTTCAGATTTTTGGAAAATATAGTTTTTGAAATGATCATCAGTTAGGTATACAATGTTCCCAGTCTCAGAATATGTTGAAAAACTATACCTATATTATTTGTCAAAGTTAAATACTTCCATGACTTTTCCATAAACATATTAAGTAATATTATTTGTTCATTCAGAAGACTAGACATTCTCGAATCATGGTTTAAGGCAGTTCATAGAGAGAATTGGGCTCCATCTAAAACCAGCAAGCTTTGTGGAGAGCATTTCCTGCCAACTGATTATTTACTTTAGACATGGTACTGCTAGGTTATTGAAACCAGGTGCTGTGCCCAATATATTTTCATTTCCTAAGCATTTGTTACCAAAAAATGCTGATCCTCGCAGGAAAAGAAGAAAACTAGGAAAATAGGAAAACTCGTAGGTATCCAGTTGATTAATAATGAAAAAATAGTATGTTTCCACTTCTTTGAAATAAAAAACTAGCCAGTAATTTATTTTCAGGATGCATCTGTGGACGTTCATAACTTGGGCCCTAAGGAAGATGTTTCTCATATTATGGACTTTGATATGCCTACGACTTCCAGCTCCCAAGTTTCGAAGTTCATCAATAAAGAGACCCAAACTGTTCCATTCGAGAAGGATATCGTATTGAGAATTGTATTTTTTTTATTTCTAATAGGGATATGTTTGTAGGCAGTCCTGATGGAAAAATAGGAACCTATGGAAATTATGCTCAAAATGGACCTTTAGTACTCAATACCATTCAAGAACCTCGTTTCAAATTTTTCCTATCGTTTTTCTTTTTCTTCTGATAGTGCTAAGACATTGTTCTTCTCTCACCCTTTACAATATATTGTAACATTTGAATAAAAATATGTAATTTTAATTTTGTGTTCATTTGACTTCCTAATCCTGTAAGAATAGAAATGAAATTTCATTTTTAACAATTCAATAATGATTTTTTAATGATAATTGATTGCAACATTAAACTTTTTTCTAACGAGAAAATATTTTGCCTCACTCGTCGTTCACAGAGGGTCCCTTCCAGATGTTTAAATAGAGTTCATTGGTGAATATGGGACACCGCAATGCAGCGTTGCCATTATTTCACCTTGGCTTTAACTGATCCAAAAGCCACGATGATAATCTTTCTAAAATGAGGATTGAAGAAAAGGTAAAGGCGATTGAGAAATTACGAACCTCACACACATCAGGCCATCAGCGTCTTCTCCTAGTGAAAATGCAGAGTCTGTTGATCTGAGCGAATCCACGAGCGCCATGTTGAGATTGTTAAGCTCTTCCTTGGCTTGGTCCGTCAGGAGTTGTTCCCATCCCTCTGGGATGTATCTCACTCCTCCCATTCCTGTTAGATACAGTGTCTTTCAAAAGTATCGGAACGAACGGTCTCATATTTCAGGAACGGCTCGAGAAAAATTCACGTAATTTTTCTACAGGGTGATTATTGATGATGTCCGATTCAATGGTGGCATCGGCAATGTTGCCAAATCAACAGTTTTTCAGATATTCAGGGTAACTCAATTTTTTCAAATGGAATACCCTATTTGTTTTCATTGCAATACATTCAGCGACGCCTCATTACTAATGTCTCCAAATATCAGATTTTAAATTGAAGTGGTTTTTTGGAAATATGACAACATGGCATTTTCGTTCAAAAGTCTGGGAACCTTTTAATATTTTCAATACGGTTCAAGGAAAATTCATGAAATTTTATACAAGATGGTTTCTGATGATGCCCGATTCAATGGTGGCATCGGCAATGTTGCCAAATCAACAGTTTTTCAGATATTTAGGGTAACTCAATTTTTTCAAATGGAATACCCTATTTGTTTTCATTGCAATACATTCAGCGACGCCTCATTACTTATGTCTCCAAATATCAGATTTCGAATTGAAGTAGTTTTCGAAATATGACAACATGGCATTTTCGTTCAAAAGTCAGGGAACCTTTTAATATTTTCAATACGGTTCAAGGAAAATTCATGAACTTTTAAACAAGATGGTTTCTGATGATGCCCGATTCAATGGTGATATCGGCAATGTTGCCAAATCAACAGTTTTTCAGATATTGAGGGTTGCTCAATTTTTTCAAATGGAATACCCTATTTGTTTTCATTGCAATACATTCAGCGACGCCTCATTACTTATGTCTCCAAATATCAGATTTTGAATTGAAGTGGTTTTCGAAATATGACAACATGGCATTTTCGTTCAAAAGTCTGGGAACCTTCTAATATTTTCAATACGGTTCAAGGAAAATTCATGAAATTTTATACAAGATGGTTTCTGATGATGCCCGATTCAATGGTGATATCGGCAATGTTGCCAAATCAACAGTTTTTCAGATATTGAGGGTAGCTCAATTTTTTCAAATGGAATACCCTATTTGTTTTCATTGCAATACATTCAGCGACGCCTCATTACTAATGTCTCCAAATATCAGATTTTGAATTGAAGTGGTTTTCGAAATATGACAACATGGCATTTTAAAATCTGATATTTGGAGACATAAGTAATGAGGCGTCGCTGAATGTATTGCAATGAAAACAAATAGGGTATTCCATTTGAAAAAATTGAGTTACCCTAAATATCTGAAAAAACTGTTGATTTGGCAACATTGCCAATATCACCATTGAATCGGGCATCATCAATAATCACCCTGTAGAAGTTTTCATAAATTTTCTCTGAGCCGTTTCTGAAATATGGGACCGTTCCAGAACTTTTTAACGAGAATGCTATGTTGTCATATTTCGAAAATCACGTTAATTAAGAATCTGATATTCAGGGACTCAAGTAATTAGGAGGCGCTTAATTAATTGCAATAAAAATAAATGGGGTATTCCATTTGAAAAAATAAAGTTACTCCTAATATCTGGAGAACTGTAAACTTGGCATCATTGCCAATGCCAACATTGAATCGGACATCATCAATAATCACCCTGTAGAAAATTTCGTGAATTTTTCTCAAGCCGTTCCTGAAATATGAGACCGTTCCGATACTTTTGAAAGACACTGTATACTTATTATAACCTCATCGTGAGAGCTCAATATTATTTAATTCACATACGCCAATATAAAACAGATATTACTCCGGGCGCCAGAAATAATAAATATCGGAATTTCTTTGACATATAGAGAAAATTTGAGGGCGTATTCATTTTGTTTTATCGTTAATCTTGAATAAAAATGTGAACATAGAAACCTTCTTCATTCTGTGGAGTACCAATTCTTATTCTGCGGGGATCAGAAATAAACTTCGAAAGCATTATGAATAAAATCAAAAACTCGACTAGTTACTAAATTTTTGTTGTTTGAAATAAAAAATGAGGAATTTCTTCGTAGCCTTCCTTTGATAGACCTAGAACGCAGTAGGAATTTCGAATTTATTTCCTCGATGACATCAAGAGCATACCATATTTTTCCCAAAGGGGTCAAAAGTAAAAACGAATCCTTTTAAAGCACTGTGATCAGTTTTGAAATATTGAAGTCACTTACTGAAAAATTGTCAAAATTTCTTCAGCATCCTCCCGACAGAAAATCGGAATGTCAACATCAGAGACATTGAGTGATTTTATCTAAGATAATATAGCTTTTCTTTTTCGGAATGCGTCGATAAGGATCAAAATCCCGAACAGAGCCACACAAAGTTATTCTATGAGGGGACACTTCTGAAATGTTCAAAATAGAGATTAAATCATGACGTACATATGTTTGAAGGATATAAATAAGACAATACAGATATTTCGAATTTCAAAATAGAACCATAGTCAGGGGAGTACGCAATGTTAACCGAAGAGGGTAAGAAACCTACAAAAAAATCAAAATGTCGGTATATTTTCAAGATATGTTGACAAAATAAAGAAAATGCGATTTCATGAGCTTGCGACATTTTATTCTAGGAGCCGAATCATTACCTGCCCAATCCGGTAAATCGACGATTTTCAGTACAGGAGAAGCTTCGACCAACTTATCGAACGTCTCTCGATGATGAATAGTCGCTCTCAGGATGACCAGTTGCTGTTCCAGGCACTGCACGAAAGCTTGGATCTCCTCGTTGGTCGGTTGTAGCCCGACAGCGTTCTCGAACGGACAGAACCTTCATCGGAAAGTTTTTTATACATGGTGTATCCTAGGTACGTGGCAAACAACTCAAATTCATCAAGTTGATGTTTGTCATGGACCTACAGAATTTTGAGAATTTTGGCAACACCGCTTCCAGTTGGAAGAATTGAAATTTGTGACGTGGCAACATCCAATAAAATACAGCCAATCTGGTCAATAGAATTCGTGAAAATTCCAAAGAAGTATACGTGTGAAATCTCACGGGACCAGCTTCAACTATAAATAAAGGGGAACAGTCGATCCAAAGTTCAGATAAATATTCATTTCACTGTTTCGTGATTCAGGTTAGGATACGATTTCTGTCAGGATTCAGTGTTTCTAGGCCAATTTTCATTGTGGTTGAAGTAGGTTGAGGTTTGCAATCCCGAAATATCGGGGCCCTGGTGATATTTTTATACCGAGAAGCTCGGGATCACATCCGATTAGATCCCGGGCTTTTCGGGATTAGTTTTGACCAATAGGACTTCACTCTCGTCAAGTGAATCAGATTATTATTATTATTCGAAGTTCTTCAAAAAAATGTATTATGGAGATACTCGTGAGTCATATAAAACGTTTCTTAATAGTATCAGAGGCAATAATTGATGAACAAGCGTCACCGAGTGTCTCACTGACTCAACCTCTATACAATGAGATAACACCAAATTAAACAAAGGAAATTACCATTATCGAAAATGGTGACAACAAAGGTACATATTTACTAACAACCATTAACAACTATACCACCCACTAGTGTAGAATATGAAAGAATATTTTCCGCAGCTGGTACAGTCGTATTCAATAAAAAAGCGTACAAGTATTAAAAAGAGAGGATTTCAGGATCCTAATTCTAGTTGTGTAAAACTGGCTCAGCCAATGCTTTGTGTTTTCGAGACCCTATGACCACTTTTTTTTTAATGCGACTGTACCATTTGCAAAAGAAACGTCCTCTTGTCTCAATGCTCCGCGAAAAATGGCTCTCTATGAATAAGAACATACAAAATCCTGATGGTATCTCCAAAAATAATCTAAAAATCCAATGGAAATAAACACCTCAGAACTGTCAAATAATATGTTCAATCAAATGTCAGTTTCTTTAGTATGCTGGTTTTCAAATTGTTAAGTTCATTGAGTATTGTGAAGTGTGTTAAATTAAACTGAACATTTTTGATTTTTTGACGCCCTGTATCTTGAAAACGGAAGCCCGGAGAAAAATTTTGATGAGGACAGAAATGATTCCTTTATTATGAGTAATCTACAGTTTTCCATTGTGACACTTATTTGTTAACACCCTGTATACAGGGTGACCCATGGTTAGACCGTCAAACGTTAAGGGTCGGTTATTTGGGCAAAAATAAGCCTTTATTTCTAATGAACATATGTCCTAACTTGCTTTGTTTTCAATATACAAGGTGTCAAAGTTTTCAGAAAAAATCGGTTCTTCATTAATTACGGCTTGAACTTACGGCAGATTTCGATGAAACACAAAAAAAATCATGCAATGACTTGTCCTAATATCAGTTAGATTACCCTCTATTACGTTATCCAGTTTCCTAATAAAATAAAATAATGAAACAAAAATATCCTTATATCATTTTGATTTCTTTCTGGGACGCCAATGGGCATAATTTAATTCGGATTACATCAAATTGAGCTCCGTTGCACCGCAAATAAGCATACCAAGTTCCATCGAAATCTGCCGTAAGTTCAAGCCGTAATTAATGAAGAACCGATTTTTTCAGAAAACTTTGACACCTTGTATATCGAAAACAAAGCAAGTTAGGACATATGTTCATTTGAAAAAAAGTCTTCTTTTTGCCCAAATAACCGACCCTTAACGTTTGGCGGTTTAACCCTGGGTCACCCTGTATATACTATACGCTATATGCTTTATGCTTTATTTGTTTTTTGTTCCGTTACTTCGGTCAGAGGACAATCGGGCAAGCGATCACACTTGTAATCAAGAGGTCATGGTTTCGATTATTGAGCTTGGCGCTTCTTAGATTTGGGTTAAATTATGCTCAGTGCATGGTATATTATATTGAATGGAGCCTAAATGTCACAGTGGTATCATTTCCACTTCTTCGAACTGGAGATCTCGTCGCACAAGCCTTTCAAGGGCTTCTGAGGGTTACTTTAATACCCTATGTAAAATGAGTAAGATAAAGTAAATGAATTATCTGAAATTAAAATAAAAATTGTCCTCTCCTGTTTCAAGTTGCCCTCCCCCCTCTAATGATTAGGCTGCGACCGCGCCTGCTAACACAAAGGGAAAAAGGAGGCGAAATTTCGAACTTTTTCTAGAAATATCTCGATAAATAGTGGTTTGTTCACATTTTCATTATCAAATTCGTGTTTTTCAGACAAAAATACATAAGTACCAAAAAATGTGCGAAAAAAACCATCGCATAATAAATGCAGTTTCACCGATCAGACTACAAGGTCAATACCTTAACACGACTCCGACGTTCTCCAGCTCGCAGATATCCACAGGCACTTGGGGAGCGTCCAGCTGCAAGATCTGCCCCAGCCACGAGTTCAGTTTGTCGTAGTAGGGAGGTACTTTCGACTGGTACTCACCCCCGTTGGATTCGGGGGTGAATTGGAAAACGACGCAACTTGCCGTCGATTCGAACAATAGCTGCGAAATTTTCACTTATAATACCACAAGAGCTTCGATTATCACCGGAAATTTGTTCCAGTACACGAATATTTTTGAAATTTTTCCCGAGTCGAAGACTAGAGTGGTATTTGGTAAGAAAATTTGGGTCGCGGAATTTTTTTGAAAACAACGTTTTCAAAAACTTTTTTTCGAAAATCTTTTCTTTCGAAAGTTACTTCTTCTACAAACAACTTTTCAAAAGGTTGTAGTAGAAATCATTCATTTCGAAGAGCCGTTTTCTCGAAAACGTTTATTTCTTTATTTCGAGAAACTGTTTTTTTCTCAACAATCTACCTACCTAGCTAACTTATCTAAACAAATACTGACATTATTCACGAAAAGAGTATAAATCTTTGGACCAGAGACGACGCAATATATGTTCATCATTCGAAGAAACATGTGATAATGATGAATTAATTAGTTATTTGCAGAATATTGCACATGTTTTGTGATGTTACCTAATATGTCGATGTTTCATTGTGATAATTGAACTTGTTTTCGAAAAATTGTTGTTAGAAACCGATGTGTTTCGAAGAGTTGTTTTTCTAAAATGAGTTTTCGAGAATAAGACTATTCTGAACTTTGTTCTTTCGAAAATTTCCATTCGAAATTTTTTTGTCGAAAAAGTTTTCGAGAAAAATTCCGCGACCCAGAAAATTTTACACCGAAAATTGAAAAAATACTAGAATAATATTACGCTAAATAAAATACATAATACCGACTTTAGTTACGCAAAATATTGATAAGGCAGCTGGTGGCAGTTCAAAATATTATTGTTGACTAACTTTATTCCACTTAAGTTGGTGGAAATATAATTTGTTGCAAAGAACTCGACAGTGTGTAGTATTAATATAATTCATATCCATATCATTCTTAAGTTGAATAAAACACAATTAACTCTCTTTAATTACACAAGATGATGAAAAATAGGTCGATAGTAGCTCAATATCTCAGTTTTTCACAAACTAATTTAGCAAAACTTGGTAGAAATATATTTTCTCGCAAGGAACTCATCAACTTATAGAATTAATTCGACATAATCTTAATTAAATGTAAATGTCATTTTACCTATAATCGTCCAAAAATTTCCAGTGTAATTTCATGTTCCTTCCCCCAAGGTAGAGGAAAAAATTTCGGAACATTTGCTAAGTTGTTATGGTAACGATACATTGTACCAGTATATCACCTGACCAAGCTACTGTGTAGAGAAACATGTCATGTCACTTAAGAATTTTTTGGAAATCTTATCGTTTGTGAAGTTTTTGCAATTGCTATGGATTTCCATCAAGTAAAGGCAGAGTCAATTCAAAAAATCTCTATTTCTTCTCTTCAAACATTTTTCCAAACAAAGTGTCACTGACAAGCTATTGGATTTTTCTTTTAGGTTACCTAATAGAAAAATTTCCTAAAAGCAGTGACATTTTGTGGCAAAGTATCTGATTCAAAACACTCAAACGTTTCAGCTAGTTTTTTAGTATAAATTGAAAGGCGAAAGCAACGAACTATGTATAGATGGTTTTGATTACTTACAGGTATTGTTGATGGTTTCGAAATCAATTCTGACACTGTATATGCACCACTTTCTCCGCCTGGTTTGGGACTCTGAAAATCAATTTATAAGAATATTTGCACTGGGTGATCCACTCAAACATTCCATTTTCAATGTTCGTTGAATGAAATTCCAACAATGTTGTTCCGCTTTGATATCCTTAACAATTGAAATTTTTTCAAAGAAAATTCGTGTTCGAATAATTTCGGGAAAAAAATTGAAATCGTTAGTGATATTTTCAACTAAAGAAGAAAATGTGGAGCTTCCTGTAATTTGATCATATTAACAATAATTACTCGATAAGAATTGTGAAACATACTGGGTGTTTCTGAAATTGGGGAGATCCATGAAATGGATGATAGACGAAAAAACAAAACGAAATGGAAGAATGCATTTTTGTCGAAAAACAATTATTTGGAAAGATATTGAGCCTCAAAGTTTGCCTGAAACTTTTGTAAATGATTGATCAAAGGCTGATAGCCCAACCCAAGCGTTTGCTTTCGAAGAGATCACAAGCACCGGAGGTAATATTGACTTTTGCAATGTTGTCGGACGTTCAATAATAGTTTTTTTTTGTGTTCTGGCTCCCACGAAAAGGGATATCCTGTAATGTTCAAAGAACATCGTGAGAATCAAGGAAACACCTCCCTTGGCATTGTGTTCCAGAGCCTCGCTTTTCGTTGAATAAACGAGTCATTGAAAAGAGATGTTTTGCAGGTCTCCAAAGTGACCACGAAGGAGTGCGAAGCCTCAGCTCGACGGGTAAATCTCGCGGGGACTGCCAAGGGAGGAACAATTGTTGATATTTCAGAAGAGCATCGTCCATGAAAATATCAATAAAATACGGCCAGATCGCCAACTTTTCTACGGTGTTCCAGAGAAGTGAGTGAGTTTGTGAGCGAGGCATCACCCACGAGACGAATTGCTTTTTTTTTTACAGAATCCAACAGTTTCAGGGTATGTTTGGGTGCTGCACTCTAAATATGGCAACAGTATTCCAGGACAGGTCGGATCTGTGCCTCATAGATCATAAGCAGCTGACTGGAAGTGAAATATAGCTCCTGGCCCGAAACAGGAAGCCAAGTTTTTGGAATGCACTTTTAGCAATTGATCTCACGTGAATTTCCCAAGAAGGGTTATTGCTGATAGTAATACCAAGCATCGAAATGGATGTCTTCAAAGGTATGGTTACTCCTGACAAGCTTATGTTGGGTACAGTGAGATCGGCTTTTCTAGAGAAAAGGCATGCTTGAGTTTTGTTTGCATTGAAATCTACCAAGTTATTGGATCCCCATTCGAGGATTGTTGCCAAGTCCATATTTATGTTGTCAAAATTTCTTTTTCGTTCATTTCTAATTTGCCTGGCTGGAATTGGAGCCCTGGAAGAGAAGGCGGTATGGAGGGTACTATCATCCGTGAAGCTGTGTACTGAACATGAAGTTGCTTCCAACAAATCGTTGATATAGAGTAGAAATAGTGTTGGTGCTAGAATTAATACTTGCGGAACACCAGCATTTATGATAAGAGAGTCCGAGGAATCTCCGTCGACCACTACATGGAGAGACCTGTTTGAGAGAGAACTAGCTAGCAGAAAACATAGCTGGGGAGGCAAGCCATATAAGATGGAAGCTTGGCGAGGAGTCCGTGGTGCCAGACTTTATAGAATGCCTTGAAGATATCAAGTGCCACAGCTAAGGTTTCACCATATTTTTCAATAGATTGCTGTCATATATGTAGTATGGTGAGAGCGCACATTTTTTGAAAAATTTGCCAAACCTGTTTTTCGTATGATTTATCATGCCATTATCACAGAACAACCCATTTTATTCATCGCCCTATATCGGAAACACCTTGTATTTATATTTTTTCCATACTCGATGTATTAGATTTTTGTTCTTGAAAAAAAATTGTCCGTAGTTTTTTTTATTTATGACGTCACGACAAAAACCACCCTTACCAAGAAAACCACCCTTACCAAGATCCGGACGTGTCTGAACGCGTTCAGCGCCCCCCACAACCGCTCGCTGGCCAAAAAGTCCTCCCTAACTCTCGAATGCACCCCCTCCAGAGCCAACCCCTGCAGGCCCGCCCACAGGGGTAGAGATAGGACTCGTCTACCCTGATGGTCGGTGTTCAAGCCGGCTAAAAAGGGCAATGTGCTCTCCCTGCTCGCCCCCACTTGTTTGCTGCGACTGGGATTTGTAGAGGGGTCCCACAGTTTGTAGAGGGTCTGGTGGAAATTCGTTTAGGAAAATTGTCGGATTTTTTGGGATTAATTTTGTTCTAAACCCCCTAAAAGTTTTTTTTGGGTACGCCCCTGGAATCACAATTTCAGAATCTCGATAATTCGACTTATTTCTTTATCAACCTTACCTGAAAATAATGCGTACGCCCCTGAAAAAACTATGCCAATAATTCTGCTCTATCGACATATCTAGCAGGAATATTGAATGTTCATCAACTAGTGAATTCATCCTCCCAACAATACGACTATATTATTCCACTTTGCATTTTAAAGCCCCTGAAAAAATCATTAGTAAACCGTTGAAGTCACTATTTCTATTTTCTTCCAGATGATGTTACAGAAATCTCAAAAAATCACCATTTTCTTCATTTTCACCCCTCTGGAACAAATATGCGTACGCCCCTGGAGTAATAATAGCAATTTTCATCAACGTACACATCGCATGAAGTTTGATTGTTCAACAACTAGTAAATTTTTTCATGTTTCAATACGAATATTATCATTCTATATTTCATTTTAGACCCCTTGAAAAAGAAACTGGTACGCCCCTCAACTCACACTGTTAATTTTTTTTTATTAGGAAACTTAGCATATGTAGGAGAAATATTGAATGGTTATCAACTACCAATGCATTATCTATCATCTCTTCCATACGAATATAGTATTTCATTTAGTATTTTAGACCCCCTAGGAAAAATCTTTTTTTTTTTTTCGGATTGTGTCAGACATTTCGAGAATTCAACATTTTCTTTAATTTCAACCCTGGAAAAAATGCGTACACCCCTGGACTAGCAATGTCAACTTTTCATCAACTCACGCAGTAGGAATGTTGAATGTTCATCAACTAGTAAATTTTTCCGTGCTTCTATACGAAGATTTTGATTTCATTTTTTAATTTAGACCTCCTAATAAAAAAACTTGTACGCTCCTGGAATCAAAATTTTCACTTTCTTCCAGTTAGTGTGAAAGAAATCTCGAGATATCAGTAAGTTCTTCAATTTTTCCCCCACTGAAAAAAATGTGTACACCCCTGGAGTGACAATGTGAACTGTTAGACAACATAGTAGCCACGATATTGTTCATTTTGTTCAATTGAACCCCATTAAGAAATATATTGGTGCGCCCCAGAGGGCACAATTTTATTTCATTTTCGGATGGTGCAAATCCATTGTACGTCCCTGATATTATGTATTGCAAGTTTCCTTAGATATCTATTCAATCAGGTGTGCCGCAAGGACCAGCTTTGGGTCTAATCCAGTTTCCTCTTCATTTCTTCATCATTTCAACACTTTGACACTTAGCTAATATCTTAGCAACCACTGACTGAAAACCTGTAATTCTCAATACACAGAGAAGTTCATATAAACTTGTTTGATTTTGAGCTTAGAATATTTCTTTGAAGTGCCGAAATAATATTATACAAAGTGAATCGTAAATATCTGAAAAGGATACGACCATGGGCAAACCAGGAACACCCAGCCAACTGCCAATAGTCAAAGTAAAGCTGTCTGCTACAGGTGCTACCTACAATCACAACAAAATCGTAGAAAGTCGGAAAAAAAACGCTGATTACTTAGCTTATTCGGGCAGACTCGGTCCCGAAACGTCCAAAGATGAGTGAAAATTAGATATTTTTTCTATATACCTTTATTTTTTGATGTGTTAATCACATTAAATGTCGTGGAGATGACTTTGTGTATCATTCAGTATTATGTAATACTCGACTCCACTTTGAGAAACCATGGACTGCTACCAAAGATTATAATTATAAATTCTCACCGGTCCATTCCTCTGCTGACTAGATAGGGCCAACGCTGCCAAACTGTGCCCTCTGACGTGCAACCAGGCATTGTGCACCTTGCACAACTCCCTGATTCGCGAGACATTGTCCACGTGACCGGTAATAGGGGTCCCCGCATCGGCTACGACCATCAGAGGAGTCCTGCCGGATGTTGAATCATCATAGAGCATTTTATGCAACGCTGAAGTGTCCATCGTGTACTGGGATCCTATCAAAATGTTATGTAATTGAGGAAGTTCAACGCAAAACTGGCAGTAAGTAGAGTGGTTTGACGTCATTGATAATGATGTGGCAGTTTTGGTATGTCGGTTCGCTGAGGATATGTTTTTAGCCGCTACTCGTCCAGACCACCGACATAAATCACTAACTAGACCGCTAATGCCATAAGATTAATGCTTATTCATTTCAGATTTCCATAAATAAAAATCATCAATAAAACGAGTTGTATTTGTTAATATTATTTCACTCATTATATCATCAATAAAATAATAATTTTAGGTCGTATTTTCATTTGCAGTCGTTGCGTTGCGTTATGCAACTAACGAAACATCGTTGGAATTTAAGGAGGTGAGAGGTTTTGTTAGCAATGTCACCCAAGAGGATGTTGGTTGATATTAAAAGTGTTTTTATGAAATGCCGATTATACAAAGTTTGGTTTGAAATTCTTCGATACAAATTAAAAGTGAGTACCTATCACGATTTTAGATTTTAGCTGGAGATTAGTGTTATCAATTCCTGAATACGTAAATATCAAATTCATGACAGCCTACTGGCTGGTTAGTTATTTTTTTTTTTTTTTTTTTATTGAACCTGCTACTAAGGAGAAAGCCAAATACAAAAACGAAAACACAGTATGTAGGTACCCAGAAAACAATTTGTTTCCGATTATCTACCAACCACTCAAAAACGTGTATTTTGCAATTATAGCAGTCTAGATAGTAGTTATGAGTATTCCAGACGTCTGACAGGTCGGCCATGTTTGCTGAGGGCAAAACATTATTCAACTTAGAAGGATGGCTGCAATGTTAAAATCAAGTTTTATGGACCACTAGGGACAACCTCTGGTAAAAAAAAAGTTATAACTAGATACTGGAGAATTGAATTGAAAATGTATAAAAGTCACGTGTTAATTGGTTGCAATCATGGGACCTCTGGGAAAAAAGTTACATTTACTAGAAAGCACACATTCCAGTTGTGGAGAATATGATGATTTATCATCTGAATAGGTGATGTTATTTAGAAATAACCTAAAAATAATCAAACAGTAGAAAAATTTTTCTCTATAGGTCGCGTGAACGATGACCGACCCTGGAGGCAAAATATTGAAAACAACCTCACTTTTTGTATATGTTTACAGAGGAAAAAATGGATTGAAATAGTTTTTCACAATATTTTGGCATACGAATCGTGTTTTTCGCGCAATTCATCAATTCAAGCATGCCTTCTCATTGTGCTGTTGTACAATGCACAAAAAATGCAGCGAGAGACAAAGGAATATGATTTTTCAGGTAAATAGTAATCTCACATAGTTTTCATTATGAAATTTTGTCATTTCTTATTGAAATTCCTTCTGCCACTTCTGCAATAGAAGCTAATACTGCTAAAAGATTGAAAATGTCTACAACACACACGATCATATTTCGTCAGCATGTCAGACCAGTCCTCCCGTTCGATTGCATGAATCCAATCTTCTTGTATTCTTTTAGAAACTTCACGAGTATTTCTATTAGCTCCTATTACAGAAGGAATTCCGATGAGAAATCAGAGAAATTACCAAATTTCAAAATGAAAACTATATGTGAGTGACTATAGTGGGTATTTACTTTCGAATTATAATGTACCAACTGAATTCCTTCGTCTCCCACTGCATTTTTTGTGCATTGTACAACAGCACAATGTGATGGCATGCCCGATTTATTGAATAGCCGAAAAACTCGATTCATATGCCAAAGTAATTGTGAAAAACTATTTCAATCCCTTTTAAACAAATAAGAAGTTGTGTTTCAATGTTTCACCTCCAGGGTCGTTCATCTGACAGTTCTTGCACGCGACCCATTGTTTTTTTTTTTTGTTCACTTCACTTCAATATCTTCGTGCTTCACTGACAGTTCAAGAAGTTCGCGAATCACCAGAGCTGTCACACCATCAAGGTACTCTACAATTAAACTGACGTACCGAAATGAGTGTTGACAGGAACAGGTCTGACACAGGCCATAGGTAGGCCTAATTGCCTGCAAAGGTGTTGGACCATGCCCAAGGGACTAGCTACACTACTGTAGATCGTTGGTAACGAATTCGCCAAAGCCAAAGCGCCATCTTCCAGATACCTCGGGTACTTGTAATGTAACATCATCCTTGTCACTCTCACAAGACCCTCAAGATGGTCTTCGTGGTAAAAGGCGGAACAATCCAGGAATCTGAAAAACACTGGAAATTGTCAAGCAAAGATCTTTCCGGAGACGAATATACAGGGTGAGCCATGAGGAACTGTACATACTCCTACCACGAATACCGAGCGTATATCAGTCTTATACACTTCTTTCCCAATATATAGGGTGAATTATGAGATTTGGCAAAAATATCTTGATGAGATATATGTGAAATTGTGGATGACCTTCGCTATAAATAATTTTATCTGATGGCATGTCATAATGACAACGTTATGTCACTCAATTTTGATGACATAAGGAAGCTCATTATGGTACTAAGTACCATAATGAAATGCTATAAGGAAAACATGTAATGGTTTGATCAAAAAAGTTTATTCAAAATGCATAACTATGTACAAAACTATTTATTATAAATGGTAAAAGAACAATTACTACAATTTGTAATATTAATATAATGGCAAAGCACAGCTCACTCACCTACTAATATTTGAAACTACACAATACTTACTCCTTTAAAAAGGCATGTCATAATGACAACGTTATGTCACTCAATTTTGATGACATAAGGAAGCTCATTATGGTACTAAGTACCATAATGAAATTCTATAAGGAAAACATATGTAATGGTTTGATCAAAAAAGTTTATTCAAAATGCATAACCATGTACAAAACTATTTATTATAAATGGTAAAAGAACAATTACTACAATTTGTAATATTAATATAATGGCAAAGCACAGCTCACTCACCTACTAATATTTGAAACTACACAATACTTACTCCTTTAAAAATAGTTGTCATTGTGACATGTCGAAAATGCAGTTTTTAATTTTTCGAAAATGTATTGATATAAATGCCATCAGATAAAATTTTGTATGTAATACGAATCATAAACAATCATTATGGCACACGCCGTGTTATCGGACTCGGCTACGCCTCGCCCGATAACATTCACGACTTGTACCATAATGATCGTCTTTATGATCCTTATTACATAAATTACTATTAAGATTTCAATTCACAGTTTTATCTATTCGATTTGTTTTATTCAGATAATTTATTAGATATTCCACTCAAAGACCTCTAGTCGTGGTAGGAGTAGGTATGTACAGTTCCTCATGACTATCAGTTTCGGATGTTTCCTCAGAAGAAATCATTTGATTCCACTCATGCTTCCAATAATCTGTGGTTCTCAAGGTGACCATATATTTACTTTTCCTACTAAACACTGATAAACGGAATTTGTTGTATCGGAACAGAAAACCGCAATTGACCATTTTTAGGTAAGGCAATTCGTATCACTTGTTGCATATGTTTCTCGCCAGATTTCAATAAATACATAAATTTGCTTTGTATAATTTTCGTAATCTGAAGTAAAATATAAATGTATTTTTATCTGAGAGCGTCAAAAAATTTCCGGTGTAATTTCATACTCCTTCTCCAAGGAGGAGGATAATGTTTCCATAAATTTGTTTAGTTGCAATGGTAACGATACAACATACAGGCTTTTAATTGGTCGAAAATGTGAGGTGTGAAATTTTAAGTGTAAATTTATCCACCATGAGAGCAAAAGAACAAACCTCATATGAAAACTCACCCAAACAGTTGACTGATCCATCTGGTGGTATCTGTGGTGAACCTCGTACTCAATTTCTGTAAAATGGGCCTTTCCAATCCCCCACAATATGCTGCCAGACTGTGAGACACCATGACAAGCTTGGTGACAGTATCCAATGGGGGGAAGTTGAGCGGTTCCCCATCTTCGTCAGTGCTTATCAAGGAATTCATTTATTTATTTATAGTAGAGGAGGTGATGTCAGGAAAAAAACGACCGATCTGCACAAGTTTCCAATGTCACTCATATACGAGAACAACAACTACTATAAACAAAGTCAAGTTGTTGCCACCCCGAATCGGTCCTATTTTGTTAATAAACAATCATCAATTTTGCAAAACAGCGGAGTAATTTGACCGATCTGCGATCTGGCTTTTACCACAAAAAATATTTAGCAATCTGCACAAGTTCCAAAATGGTAAATACGAATTCATAATGTTAAACAAAGTCCTACAGTCAAAGTGGTTATCAAACATTTGTCACTTTGTGTGATGTCACAAAGGCCTTCGACTGTGCCTCTTACGATATTTTGATTGAGAAACTCAACTACTATGGAGTCAGGGGGAACCTCTTTTATTAATAAAATCATGCCTAGAAAACAGATGTCAATATGTCTGGGCAAATAATACCTGCTTCCTATCAAGCACAGGGTACCCCAAGGCTCAGTTTTGGGTCCACTCCTGTTTTAAGTCTATATAAATGATCTCTGTGATTTTGTTTCACCCCACAATAATTGCATTCTCTTTGCGGACGAGACTGACTTGATAAATCGCCATAACTCCTACAATTCTCTGATAATTGATCAAGACAATCTCACGAGGAAAGCTGAAACACAGTTTTCAACAAATTAACTCTCTTTAAATAAACAGAAAACACAAAAACTATTTTTTTCAAAGAACACAGTGCTCCAAATTACTGCAAATGCAAATTTTCTAGGAATTGTACTTGATACTAGCCTCACCAAGGCCTTCGACTGTGTCTCTCACGATATTTTTATTGAGAAACTCAACTACTTTGGAGTCAGGGGAAACCTCTTTCATTGATAAAATCATACCTAGAAAACAGATGTCAATGTCTGGACAAATAATACCTGCTCTGAAACTATCCCTCTCGAGCACAGGGTACCCCAAGGCTCAGTTTTGGGACCACTCCTGTTTTTAGTCTATATAAATGATCTCTGTGATTGATAACTTGATAAATCGCTATAACTCCTACAATTCTCTGATAGTTGATCAAGACAATCTCATGAAGAACGCTGAAACATGATTCATCGAACTCATTTTTTCAAAGAACACAGTGTTCCAAATGCAAATGCGAATTTTCTAGGAATTGTACTCGATACTAAACTTTCATGGCGCAACCACATCGATTTTATCCAGAGAAAATTAGCGAGTGTGCTTTTTTAACTTAGACGACTCAGTAGGTTGACAAGTCTGGAAAATCAAAGAACGGCATATTGTTTTCTCTTTCACACAGTCATCTCCTATGGCATTGTCCTATGGGAGGGGGGCTCCACTGATTCCATATGAATTTTCAGGCTCAACAAAAAAGGCTATAAGAATTTCATCCAAAGTCCATCCATTCCCGGCAATCTACATAGTTTTTTACAACATAGTGTTTCAAGCACACCTTCAGTCGTTTGAGTCCTATCCGGCCTGTCAATTGTGGGAACTGTCAAGTGTCATTTTGTTGCAAATAGAAGTATTCAAACAATTTCTGCTTGTATCATAATTGTTCATCAAAAATGTATGAGAATTGTAGACGAAATGTATCTATCCTATGGACTGGACGCACATCTACAACCAATCTAACTTCCATTTCTCGTTAGTTGCATAGTATTATGTATTATGTTCTCAATTCCCATTCCCTTCGAATTATTTTGTAGGTTAGCAGATAGGTTATAATCTAATTTTCAGAATTATGGGATTTGGTACTGGTAACTAAAATGACGTTTATAACACTTGTTACATAATATACTATTATCAACATACATTCATGCACGATATGTCAATGTGGTGGCTTTTACCGTTTAGATATATGTTATGCGGGAACATTATTTCAATTATATCAACTTTGGAATGATATATCTTCCTTGATATTCATTTTGAGCCATTAGTTTATTCATCAAACTATAATTATTTTTCAATGTACTACCACCTCCAGGAAGTACGGTACACATTGTTGACTCACCCTGTATAGTGGCATATTCTATCATATGAGTGAAGTTCAAAACTTCTGCAGACTAGTAGACTTTTCTGACATCACCTCCCCTACTATACGTGGGAATACATTAGAGGGCGAGTCAGAAGAAGACCAGTAAAATTCGTACTCAACTAACTCAGATTCAATCCGAAAAGTTTCAATAGACGTATCATAATATCAGATTTTAAATAAAAAGAATAATCCCGTTTCAAATTTGAAATATAAAATCAGAAAACAACAAAGATACAGGAAGGAACAAATACTATACAAACCTGATGAGACCGTGGATGATTTTGACGATTTCGTCGGTATGCTTTTTTTCCAATCCTAGGAATACGGTCGACTGACTTGGAGTACTTTCTGGCAAAGGTATTCCTTCTGCTACTTGTTCAAGCCTACTCACTATCTCGGAGGCCTCTATGGCTATTTCTCCCACTTGCTAAATAAGTAGAATGACCTCAATAAACCTAGCAGAACCACCTCATAATAATCTAATCATACAAGGTGTCCCAGAACAACGTACCATAAATTATAAAGGGGAAAATAGAGACCAGGATTGGAGTCAACTTGCCTCTAAACGAAAATGCGTTGAAGAAAAAATGTATTTCCAGGTTTTCTTGAATACATGTACCATTTTAATCAATATACAGAGAGTTAGATGTACCATTTTAATCAATATACAGAGAGTTAGGTATTTCACATTCTCTTTGATAAAAATGTATGTAACTGTATGGCACTGACCACATTTTTTGATTTTTCAATGAATGAGGAAATCAGTTTTTTTTATAATTTCTCTGGTTTTCGTGATATCTAACAAAATTAATTTTGGTGCCTCTCCATACTTGTTTATAATATGTCAGGATTATCATGTTTTGAAAGTTTCTACCTCATTTGTGTTGAGTTACGGGTTGCTTGCAAGAACTGTCAGATGACCAACGCTGGAGGTGAAACATTGAAACACTGAAACACAACCTCACTTTTCTTATTTGTTCACAAATGATTGATGAAATAGTTTTTCACAATTGTTTTGGCATATGAATCGTCTTTTTCGGCTATTCAATAATTCGCGCATGCCATCACATTGTGCTGTTGTACAATGCACAAAAAATGCAGCGGGAGACGAAGGAATCCGGTTAATACATTATGATTTGAAAGTAAGTCACTCACATATAGTTTTCATTTTGAAATTTGGTAATTTCTCTGATTTCTCATCGGAATTCCTTCTGTAATAGAAGCTAATAGAAATATTCGTGAAAGGACCCCTCACCGCATTAGGGGGGAAATTGACTTTCGGTGAATTTTCTCGAATTTTGGATATATCGTAGAACTCGTGATGCTGATAAGATGTCCCAATTATCAACGCTCTAAATTCAATAGTTTGGATTATACAGGGTGCTGAAGTTGACTTTTTCAAAATTTCGATTGGCCATTGTGATTTTCCCTTTTTGAATACCAAAATCAAATCGACTACGTTCTGTTTGTCCATGTGACTGGTGAAAATCCACTATAGATTTCAATAATATCTGCACGTACTCACGATATACAGAGTTGGTCCAAAAATAGTAAATGTCCCAATTATTTCCGACGAGGTTAGCGGTTGAAATCAATTCGTTTTTGGACATTTCGTAGTGTAATTAGACACAATAAGATGTTCAAGTTTCCATGAAACCGCACCCGTCCTGATATGCATATCCCCATGAACTATATTGAGTTCATTGGCATATCCATCGAATGAATGGAATCCCGTAAAACTTGGTGAGGAAGTTGATAATTCGTGATGACAATATTTTATACAAATACCTGGATTATACAGGGTGGTTGTGAAAGTAGTAGAGGAGTTTCCTTGGAGTTGACGTACTCAGGATTTCTGCCTTGTTTCTCAATTGCTCTGGAGTACGTCAGCTCCAAGAAAACTCCACTACTACTTTCACAACCACCCTGTATAATTCAGGTATTTGCATAAAATATTGTCATCACGACTTATCAACTTCCTCAATAAGTTCTACGGGAATCCAATCATCCGATGGATATGAATATCAAGGCGGGTGCGGTTTCATGGAAACTTGAACATCTTGTGTATAATATGTAGTCTGATACAAGGAATGCAATTTAGCATGAATCGATGTTGATATTAGTATACTACGAAATGTCCAAAAATGAATTGATTTCAACCGCTCACTTTTTCGGAAATAATTGGAACATTTGCTATTTTTGGACCAAGTTTGTATATCGTGAGTACGTGCAGATTACATTGAACTCTATAGTGGATTTTCACCGGCCACATGGACAAATAAAAGGTAGTCGATTTGATTTTGATATTCAAAAAGGAAACTTCACAATGGCCAATCGAAATTTTGAAAAACTCAACTTTAGCAGCCTGTATAATCCAAACTATTGAATTTAGAGCGTTGATAATTCGGAAATCTGATCAGCATCACGAGTTCTACGATATATCCAAAATTCGAGAAAATTCACCGAATTCACCTATTGCGGTGCGGGGTCCTTTCTGAAAGAATGCAAGAAGATTGGATTCATGCAATCAAACGGGAGGACTGGCCTGACATGATGACGAAATTTGATCGTGTCTGTTGTAGACATTTTCAATCTATTAGCAGTATTAGCTTCTATTGCAGAAGTGGCAAAAGGAATTTTATTAAGAAATGACGAAATTTCATAATGAAAACTATATGAGATTACTATTTACCTGAAAAATCATATTCCTTCGTCTCTCGCTGCATTTTTCGTGTATTGTACAACAGCACAATGAAAAGGCATGCTTGAATTAATGAATAGCGCGAAAAACACGATTCGTTTGCCAAAATATTGTGAAAAACTATGTCAATCCTTTGATTCCTCTGTAAACAAATAAAAAAAGTGAGGTTGTGTTTCGATGTTTCACAGAAAAGTGAGGTTGTGTTTCAATATTTAACAACTTCAGCATACGACTTTTGAACTACCCTGTATTCGTCCAATTTAAATATCAGTAGATAGTGAATCAAAAGTTGAGATGGGGACATGTGAGCCTTTGATACGCCACGCATATTTGAGTCACCCTGTATTCGCAAAGTAATTTAGAAATATGCTGCTCATGAGCCTAGACCATCACAAAAATTTTTATTGGTCTTTCCAATTTCAATGACTCACCCTGTATAACCCCATTGCTTCCCGCCCGAGGTATGTAAGTCAGTGTGTAAATAACCTTTTTTATTTCTTCTTATCTCAACCTATTGTTTGTGAGAATCAAGATGAAGAATTGATTGAATCTGATTTTTTTGCCTTTTTCAATCACGTTTTCCTCATTTTTTTCACGAAATTTTTGTTCCTCAGTTTCTGGTGACATTGATGCCATGACGAATGGATCATTATTATTATCATTATAATTATTATTGATGTGAGAATGGGCTGTGGTGTGAACCTATTATTATATTATATTTCACACAAAGTAGCTATATGCTACACATAAAGAAAAAAATATATACTCTAAATTATTACCTCTAGAATAACAAAGTTTGATTGGCTGAAGAGAAATAATACTAGTGTAACATATTATTCAATGTATTCTCCTTACTCATAAATCAATATGATTATAAGTAAACTCATAAGTAGATGATGGAAGACTTGAACTATTCGATGTGAGAATTTATTGTCCTTATCTGTTTACTATTTGTTTACAGATTACTTTAAATTCCACAAATACCTTAAATATCACACATAGAGGTTATTTGGAAAATGTATGATTGAAAATAATTTTTTTAGTTCTGGAATTACATTTGCAAATCCACAGGATATGAACATTGTGATAAATATATTGGGAATATATGGCTGTGTATAAGTATATCCAAAGGAAAAGAGTGGTATTATTCTGTCAAATAAAAAATAAATTTTAATTTTTTCAACTCTTCCCAAACCAGACTAAGAACAGTGTTGTGGATAGCGGGACCACCTCTCTGGTAGAACTAAATTAAGAATCCGTTTCACTACTTTAGGGGATATCAAAAACACATTATAGGTAGACAATACAGGGTGTCCGGCAATTATGCGCAAAAAATCAAGGGGGTGATTCTACATGATAAAATAAGTATTTCATATATACGTGGGTCCGGAAATGCATAGCTTTCAACATACGATAGGATATGAAGATGAAGAATTCAAAAAATCAGTAGCGCACATTTATTGACAATAATATTCGGTAGGGTGCCCCCGGGACGCCACTGGATTTCACAATTCCAATTCAATTATGGCTAAATCAGTCCCTCATGGCAAAGAACATAGTTGCCAAATTTCAAGAAAATCAGTGAAAGAATATTTGAGTCATAAAAAAACGATTTTTTTTAAAGTTCAACACACTGTATCTTGAAAACTATGCAAATCCGGACCCACGTAGGTATATATGGAATAAATTTCATGTTTTTTCATGCAGAATCACCCCCTTGATTTTTTGCGCATAATTTCCGGACAAGTTTATACAGGGTGTTTCGAAATATGTGAAAGGCACTTCCAGAGGTGCTACAAGAAAATAAAAAAGTTCCCATGAACGAAAGTCGTAGAACGCTCCGTTTGCGAGATACAGGGTGTTAAGTTGAAAATAAAAAAATTAATTTCCATTGAATTTCTAGATAATATAGATAAACAAAAATTCTTGAAATTCTGGTGCATAACTCTATACCTGATGAGAGTGATTAAGTAAAAATTATAGTCAATCTGATTCCCAGTGGCACCGTTAAGGGGTATTGTGTGAAACTTTCTGAAATTTTATTTGAAAATATGAAATAGGCTGCAATTTTGTAGAAAAAGCAAATTCGTAAAGATACACTGTTTTGAAGAAAAATAGAATAAACAAATTCAGCTCAAGAATTTGATGTAGATGTCCAAGGATGTCTGATAGTCCATTCAAGACATCTGTTCAGATTACTATAATATAACTATGATATATATATCATTATGTAATTGTGGCATTATGCCAGTCCCACAACAGACAAAATTTTGCCACCAAGATAAGCCATACAGGGTGGACATAAAAAAGTCTTCAAATATTTTCAACTTCAACAACATGTATCTCAGAAACAAAGCCTTCTATGACTTTTGTTCATGGGAACTTTTTTATTTTCTCAAGATGCCACATATTACGAAACACCCTGTATATATAACTTTATTATTTTCCAAGGTTGGTAGAAGTGATGATTATTTTCGAATATTCAGTTCTACCAACCTTGATTATTTTCAACTTACCAATTCCAATTCCATCTCAGTTCACTGCTTATTGATTTACAATTCAGTAAATATCTACCTACACAACCTATATTACATTATAAACTGTGTTGGTGTTTTGGGGCATACATATACATGGGTAATTTTGAAGAACTGGTGTTTTTGAAAATCAGGATAGGCAACAGGCATTCCTCTCGAAGATTCAGAAACACTATACAAGGTTGTACATCAGAAACCAGAGATATTTCAAAGTGTAGACATAAACAATGTATAAAGTAAACATTGTTAATCACAATATAATACCCTTAATGATGTAAATTCTTGCAGTTCTTCAAACCTCACTAGAAGACTGTTCTTGCCATTAATTAGAATGTCAATACCTATACTATACAGGTTTCCCAAAATTTTTAGCCTATTATTGATAGGATTAGGATAGAGATAATCGGCATAGTAAGTATAGGAAATGAAAATTTAATAAAGAATTACTTACGGTTTTGTCCATTACTGATGAACTGTTCAATCAAGCTTCATTAACCAATGACCATTATTTTAAAAAATCAGAAATGTATGTAGGTAGGTTTAAAAATTGAAAAATGTGCAAATTTTGTTATCAAATACACTGAAATACACATACACAATTCACACGTCAACTCGTCAACTTACACGTAATGACAAATGACATTTGACGACTTACTTCATACTATAATTTTATTGGTTATGTAGCAGAGAAGACTTCTTTTTAGAGAAGTCCCCACTGTTAAAGAAGAAGAAGAAGAAGAAGTGGACGATATTTATCAGGTTATGTTTATGTTGACTCTTCAAAAACATTACCTCTTTTTGTCACCACATTCTGTATAAAATTGAGTATAAAATAAAGTAACTGAAATGGATGATGTCTTAGAATTATCAAGTGATTCAGATAAAACTATATTATTATGCCCGGATGCCCAGCTTACAAATTATCCAACAGAAAAGAATATGTATGACTTGGACTTCTCTGATGAAGAAACAGCACATCCTTTCAAAAATGAAATTCCAACCAGAAATGAAAAATTGCCTGACACAGACTTATTACAGAAATTATACAATAAATATATTCCGTCTGATAAAAAAACAGGGCATGAGAATAGTGGAACTTTTTCAAGAGTTGATTCTAACAACTCAATAGATTTAACTAGTTCTCCAGAAAGAAATGAGGATGATGATGGCTTCTTCAATGAATATGAAGCAATGCAAACAGAAAAGTCAGGTGAGTCATCTAGCAAGACTCCTGGAATCAACTTTAGAAAAAGGGAATTAGAAATCCTGTTATCAGACTCTACAGATGAAGAACCATGTATGAAAAAAATATCAGAAAGTGAGCACATAAGGGGTAAAGAAAGAGTGAACTCTGAGCAGAGTCAGAAAAATGGAAAAGGTAAAAAATTATCTAGAAATGCTAGTGATACCAAGCAACAACAAGAAAATGCCAAAGCTCTAAAAATTTTAGAAAGAAATGAGAAGAAAAAACAGCTTGAAAGAGAAAAGGCTTTGAAAGCTGCTGCAAAGAGTATTCAAAAAAGTATGAGTCCTGAAGAATGTTTGAAGGTAGTTACTACAAATTCATTTTCATCAGATTGGAGGAATGCATTCCTAATTTTTAGAATATTATAGTTACAATTGATCAAGACATTTTACAACAAGTTTATGGGGATACAATTAAGGACCATCTGAGAAATAACCAGATATCATTCAAATCCATGCCAAAATCAAATGGGCTCATCTCTTGGACTAGAAAAATTCAAACTCTCACAGACATGGTGAGTTGTACTTCTAGTAATAAATGTTGATTCATTTTTTGATATTTTGTTTGAAAACTTATGAACACCTGGACAGTTCTAATCATTTTCTAATATTTCCTTTTGCATAAAAATAATTATTCCTATTTGTAGATGTGTAAAGAAACTGAGAAAGAGGAAAAACATTATTTGACTATAATTTCTTCCAAAGAATTTGATAAGCTTACAAAAAATCAAAGTCTTAGGAACCACATACAATCAATCAAAGCAATTTCCCATTTTCAACATTTGACAATAATTATTTATGGAAAAGATAAACCAAGTGCAGGTCAAGAGTTGGCAATAATGGAAATTAACATGTTCTTCAAATGTTATTTTCAATTTGCCAAAAGACCTGAGGATCTAGCTCTCATGATTACAATAACTACCAAATCAGTAGCACAAATTCCTTATAAGTGAGTAAACATTCAGGTACTTTGAATCCTCTAGAAATCATTCATTTCCTTATAATTTTTGTGCTATATTTTCATGAAATCAATGTTGCTATAAGTAAACAATTTTAGACTGGAAAAAGAAGAGAAATATAAACTCCAAAACGAATTCTTCAATGATTGCAATAGAGACTCTGTGAGAGTGGACAAAAATGGCAATGGTTTGGGTAGATTATGGCACCAAATGTTGACAATGTTTCCACTAGCTAGATTGGAAACTGCAGAGGCCATAACGGCAGTTTATCCAACGCCAACATCACTGTTCAAGGTTAATCTACCTATTATTTATGTTCATCTTGCTATTGAAAAGCATCCAACAATAATAATCATGATAACTTTATAGTATAGGAATAAAATTGGGGTAATATTTCCTACCACCCTGTATCTCAGATAGCATAGCCAAAAAGTGAGACGAAGTCATAACCTAACCTTTATTACATTGAAGTAGAAGAATGGCCAGATAGCCCAGGTAGCTAAGGCCATACAAATCGAAAGGAAGAAGAAGAAGTAGAAGAAGTCTTTGATCTCTATTTCTTCTCATCTTCTGTGTAACTAACATAAAATTTTCATTATTTCACTTGGAAAAACACCTGAAGACAAGGAGCAAGGCGATTTTTTACTTCTAAAAGCCAGCTAAACTCATCTAATATGCTTTACCTGTGTTTTTATTACTATGTGATGACATGACAATTTTCGAGTCGAATAGAATTGAACCACCGTGTATAATATTTTAGGCCTATGAAGATGATTCTACAAAGGGTGAGGAGCTGATTCAAAACCTCAATATACGTAGGGCGTATGGTCCGTTGGCCTCATCTCGAAAAGTTGGACCAGAATTAAGCAAAAAGTGTCACAATTTTTTTACATCACAAGAGAATATATTGTTATGATAATCTCTTAGTTATTTTAGATGCCACTGTACAAAGGAGTTCAATTATTTTTTTAAATAAATTATTTTTTTGATTTACTCCACACTTCCAAAAAACATGTTCCCCATCCCCAAACAAAATTTTGTTCTTGTGGAAAATATTCAAAAAATTTCAGTGTACTGGAAATTTTCCAGAGTAAAATTTTAGAAAAAAATATACTACAGATGTAGGTATGAGTAGGTATTTTACAATGGGAAATAAAAAACGGAAATTTGGGTCATAAATTTATTCAAAAAATAATTTTCAACTTTCATTCAACATGACTGGATGAAAGTATACAATGCAGCTCATAACTGGATCATTTTGAGCATGCGCATCTTACTCTTACACTAGGCAGTTTGGAAGCGTTTACAGGGGAGTAATTTGAATGAGATTTTAGGTTTGTTGGATAGTAGGTTATATTTATAACAATCACATTTTTGTGCATTTCTGCTTCAAAGCAAAGAAACTATAATCATCAACAATGAACGAATTACAATTTAGAAAAATTGAAGATCATCTTGCCACAAATATAAATTTATATATACAATGTGATGTTACAATTTTAACAGAACTTTCAATATGGAGTTCTGGATCAAAAAGGCACTTTCGGCAATAATTTGTACAAGAGATTTTTCAAGAAGCATCATAGTCTCATTTCAACAAACATAATGAATGGAATGTAAAATTTGTCAATTGATTGACATTGTGTAGAAATAAATAATTGGTTAACATTTATCTGCATCATTCTGTATACTCCATAGACAATTTGTATAATGCCATTCCAGGTTCTGTCATTAAACTTACCAGTCTGAGAACTATGAAGAAGATAATAAATGTATTCAAATGAAATAACTTCAAAATTTTGATGTTGATAAATACTTATTTATATATATATGTATTCTCCTTTTTTTGAACACTATAAATAACAAAACAAACTGTATAACAAATCATTTATATTATTACAAATCTCCCCATGTATTTGATTATGGTCAAAAATTTTAGCAGCTTTGAAGATTTTGGCAGCTTGACTTCTCATGACTCTATAGAAAATCTTCAAAGGATGGAACTAATTTGCTCATAGTTTCATTCAATTGAACAGGGAGAAATTTACAGAGCATAGTAAACATACCTATCAATATTTAATAAAACAAGATAACTGAATAAATTACAAAAGTACAAGGAATGATCAAAAATGAAGAACTACTTTTTGATAATCCCTCGTATGCGGATAACAAGTCATAGAATAAAATATGTCACATTAAATGTAAAGCCTAAAAACAAATATACATCAGCTCTTATTGGAAAACTTTCTATCACATATTTGAGCATAGATATTCTGAATATCAATTATTGTTATTTATGTATTCCCAATTCAAGCAAAATTGTATCCAAATTTCAAAGTGACCTTGTGTGCACATTTACATGAGTTCATTAGTTGAGAAATAATGGATACTTTAGCATGGATAATGACTATCTCTTTCTTCAAACTGGGCAATTATATTTCACCAAATTAAAGCAAGTTTCTCAGTCACATCAGGGGCGTCCACAGAAATAATCTCAGGGAGGGGCAAGTCACAATAAATAATGTAGAATATTCAGTACATATTAAAAAACAGTTTTTGCACGACCTTTTACACCGACAAAAGCGGGAATACAGGATATACAGAGTAGGCACTCTCTAGGCTAAAAAAATTTCCGGGATTTTTCTGGCAATAAATCTACCACTATGTTTGCAGCAGCTTCTTCAATAGTTTTTCCACACATTCCTGCAATATTTATTGAAAAAACTTTGGAAAGCGATTGAGAAAATATGCTACCACACTTTTTCAATGTTCACAAAAAGCAATATGGCAACTCTTCTTTATCGGTAGTCATGATAATCAAACTTTATTTTGTTATTATTGTGTTCAGATTTTCATTTTCATATTGACAATAATTGCTTTTATCATAAGATTCTTTCAATTAAAATCGTCGAGTCATGCAAAAAATGGTATAAAAACCTTGGAAGTGAGTTCTTTCTTTCCTCAGTGCATTGTAGCACCATCTGGCTACAAAACCACTTCTGGAAAAATCATGCATAGTCCAATAAATGAAGGAGGAAAAAAAAGGCAAAGTTAACGTTAATCACGCACTATTTTCATCTTCCGGTTGGAAGTAGCTTTTGGTACCTCATTAAACATGAAACAAAGTTTGACTGGAAAACGCGTGCGATGGCGGAGAATATGGCCCCAAAAGACCAGGAAAATAGGTTTTCAGCCAATACCTAAAATATGGCAGTTAAGAGATTTTCGGTTCAGATAAAAATTGAAGTTCAGTCAATTTTCGACAAAAATGGTCCTCATCATTTTTCTCGAAAATTTGCCCGGTTTCGAGAAAAACGGCACGAAACGCACCTCGAATAATGAGCTTCTGTTGTATGCCGGAGAACACATGTATTAACACATCGGCGGGGGGACAAATTATTCAATAACTTTGTTAAAAATGCATATTTTCTGATGATTCAAAGTTCATGTGAAAGAGGAATTCTGCTGCTATCATACCCTGCGTGGCCGCATGGTTTGTAGCAGACGACCCGAGCGCCACGTAGAGCACACACGCGGCGAACGACGGAGGAACGAAAGTAATAAATTATAGCGTGTACATTTAGATATACTGGTTTTTTCCCGGGATATCAAAGGTATGACTTATATACATCGATGGAAAGGTGGGAATTCCCCCGTTACACTAGTTAAGGTGTTAAAATGTTAGAAATAAAGAGCACGGAGAAAAAAAACACCGAAAAAAAAGTGCGTTTTTTTCTTGACCCCGCTTTTTCTAATTTTATTGAAAAATGGACGACTTCGTCTAAAAAAGTAATTGCACAATCGAAAAGTACACCTTCTTAGCTTTCAAATGATGTATCATAGAAACCAATCGGATCATGTATAAATTTTTAATTGATGGTTGTTCACCAAATTTCCCCGCGCTCCAAAAACAGCAAGAAATTGGGATTCAATAAACAGATTAAATGAAAATTTTAAAAAATTAGGGTATACAAATTCAAGGGGTTGACAAAGGACCTTATGAGGACCCATAATCAAGAAAATTCTGAGTAAATTAGTGCAATACAAAAAAAATAGGAACAAATTCCTGGCGAGGTCAAAATTGACCGGGAGCAGAAAGTTTGACCCGCATGTTCCGATACGGCCAAAAGAGTCAAGCGTGACTCAATTCACAGGGTATGATAGCAGCAGAATTCGTCTTTCACATGAACTTTGAATCATGAGAAAATATGCATTTTTAACAAAGTTATTGAATAATTTGTCCCCCCGCCGATGTGTAAATACACGGACTGTGCTCTCCGGCATACAACAGAAGCTCATTATTCGAGGTGCGCTTCGTGCCGTTTTTCTCGAAACCGGTCAAATTTTCGAGAAAAATGATAGGAACCATTTTTGTAGAAAATTAACTGAACTTCAATTTTTATCTGAACCGAAAATCTCTAACTGCCATATTTTAGGAGATATTGGCTGAAAACCTATTTTTCTGGTCTTTTGGGGCCATTTTCTCCGCCATCGCACGCGTTTTCCAGTCAAACTTTGTCTCATGTTTAATGAGGTACCAAAAGCTACTTCCAACCGGAAGATGAAAATAGTGCGTAATTAATGTTAACTTTTTCCCTTTATTTATTGAACTAGCACTTTACTCTCTCGATATATAATCAACTATTATTGTACATGAAACATGGAACAAAAAAAAAGAAAATTAATTGAATGGACATCACATGCAGGTATTCTGTTTACAGCCAAAATTACAATAAAAAAATGCACGTGATAATAATCATAATCTTGTTCAAACAAAAATGGCATTCTTATAGTCTTGAGCAAATTTATCAATAACTTGGTTGATAAAATTAACTCTATATCTATCTATAAGATGTGGATTAATACTAATTAAACAAAGTCTCAGAAAGTCACTATAATGAGCGCTAATCAGGATAGGAATTGAATAATGCAAATGTATCTTGTTTAGAAAGTATCTGAGTAAAGACCAGGTGCTAGGGGGGGGGGGCGAGCGCCCCCTTGCCTCCCCCTCCGGACGCCCCTGAGTCACATCATAAAAGATCATGAAAATATATCACCAAGGTATTCCACAATGGGGCAATATATAAAGGAAATCAAAATGTAGGACAATTTGCTTTCCCATATATCCTAGATCAGTGAGATAGCAGACATTATGTATAACTACCTATACTTGAATACCAGCTAGCTCTTTCATTCAGATTAACATCTATATCAGTAATTATTTCAGGAAAATCAACCACAATCTCATAGCATAAAAATGATTAACACAACTATTTTGTTTCCTTGAATTGCCCTGTTTACTGTTTACCATTGAATGGGAATACAATGGAAATGAATTCATTAGGTATCATTTGAGGTCAGCTTTGAATTATGGAAATGTTTCTTGAAAATATATCTTATATTGATGGAAGGTGAAATATGGACTCAAAATATATTGCTGCTTCCTGATAATCATTGTCCAAAAAAAAATTGGAGGTTGAGATCACATTTTAGTGGCACTGAACTTTAATTTGCACTTCTTGTGTACCATTTTTTTGATTACATTTGAGATCATTTTGAGATGTAGATGGAGTATCTTCAGTGATGGGGGTAGATTCTCCCTCTCTGCCAGTAGATCCAACATCTAAATCATTAATTAAATAAAACTAGATTGGGAAGAAATATTTCATGACAAAATCAAACTTTTGGAACAAAAATAAAAAACATTGTACAATTAAAAAACAAGCATTAAGGGAGCTTGGAAAGGTAGAAGTACTTACCAAAAAGGGAAATGTAGAAAGGAATCATATAAGGTCATATTTTTGGGATGTTTGGGGTCTATCAGGTGCTGTTAAAACTAAAATATCATCAATGTCAACTGCTACAGATTTTATTACTTCAGATTTACCTGTTTCCCCGCAAATTTGGGTGCAATAAGCACTCCTCATCAGTTGACAATTCTGTATATTTATCTTCATAAACATTTGTCCAAAAATGAAGTAACCTAGAGCTCCACCAAGCACTGCAGAAACAAGGAACCATGCATTGTATACCATGACAGCAAGCATTATAAAATATCCCAAATTTTGCAGGAGCAACCATAATGAGATTTCTGCTCCAAAAAGCAAGGCCCTAAAAACAGAAATTGTAAACATGAAGAGAGTAAACATATCATCATTCATTTACCTATCAAAAAGTGTGATATTCAGTGGATTAGTGGGGTTTGTGACTGTTTGGGCAAGAAGTGCTGCACTTTCTGTTGGGCATAACAGTTTCAGCTGCTTTACTCTGAGCACTAGCTCTCTCTGCTTCTGTTTTGTTTGAAGATATCTCAGGTATTCAAAGAAGAATGCCATTCCCCCAATAAACAGACATTGGCCAATGAGGCCTCCAACAGAATTCGCTGAAAAGCCTTTGAATAATAAATCATCTACCTGAGTTCCCCACCAAAATGCCTGGTGCATCATCTTGCTATCAACTGATTGAATATAATCAAGTTACATGCAGAACACCTATTCACAGTATCTCACACACTTCCCAACAGCTGACGAATTAAAACCATAATAACTTTCACATTTCTTTATCATGAAAACGATAAGAGTGAGCAATACACGGATATGTCATGATCATTTACGTTTCAAAATAATCAAAACTCAAAACACGAAAAATCATAAGGTTAGGTAATTCTGAAAATTTTCTTCTGTTTTATTAGCCTCTTGTCCAGTCAGATAGGGCTCTAAAAATGACGGAACTACGTAGCTTCTTTCATATTAGTTTTCTTCTGCTTCTTCTCATTATTTCTTTAACAGTAGCGTGACATTGAAGGCTATTGATTGAGACAACCATTGAAACATTTGAAACTCCCAGTAAATTAACAGAAATATAATTCATAATCATCATAATTGTTTATGATACCCTTTGAATGTCATATTTATCAAACCGGAAGTTTGCTAATATAGATCCGTTTAGTTTGAGCTGGTTTGAACAAATCGCTTGAAGAGCGGATCCAGAGTAGGGGGGCATAGGGGCCATGCCCCCCCCCTCGAGAAAAAATGTAGGTATGGAAAGCCGTTTTACTATTTGGAGGTGACATTCTATTGGATACAATTTTTATTCACGTGCATTGAATTTCTACTCATTTCAATTCATCATGTGAAATGTAAGGTTCAACCTGAACGATTATATATATAGTGTTCTTGTGAGTACAGGATCTCAAATGATGAGATATCTGCCATAGTTTACATTGCTTCTGGAATATCCTGAAAAAAAATCGGATCAGTATTATGCTTCTCTGATTGCGCAATATATTATTATTCATTATAATTCACATCTATGAAAAAAAACATGGGTCTATCCTTCAGAGCACTGCTTCATTGAAACAACGACTGTTGATTGCCGAAATTGCACAGATAATTTGGAAAAGAACTGGTATAAAACCACTGTTTATACCTAACTCTTGAAGACGACACCCTCCTTTGTAGAGAGGCATTACGAACGTCAAAGTTGATACACTCCCCTCGTAAGGGTACCGGACGTGATTCCATACACCCACGATGTCGACTAATTTTTCGACTCTTTGATTGAATGATTGATAAAAAAGTCGTTTTTTATGAAGAAATGCTCGAAGAAGAATAAAATCACGATCTGTATTTGAATTTAATGTTCATGAAAACTTATCTTGGACATCTCCATATTCCATCAATCTGTCTGACAGATATTGAGCTTCTAAGTGAATTGTCGTGAACGATTATTGAGTTCTTGTGAGTACAGGATCCCAAATAATGAGATATCTGCCATAGATTATATTGCTTCTGGAATATCCTGAAAAAGAAATCGGATCAGTATTATGCTTCTCTGATTGCGCAATATATCATTCATTATAATTCACATCTATGAAAAAAAAACATGGGTCCATCCTTCAGAGCACTGCTTCATTGAAACAACGACTGTTGATTGCCAAAATTGCAAAGATAATTTGGAAAAGAACTGGTATAAAACCACTGTTTATACCTAACTCTTGAAGACGACACCCTCCTTTGTAGAGAGGCATTACGAACGTCAAAGTTGATACACTCCCCTCGTAAGGGTACCGGACGTGATTCCATACACCCACGATGTCGACTAATTCTTCGACTCTTTGATTGAATGATTGATAAAAAAGTCGTTTTTTGTGAAGAAATGCTCGAAGAAGAATAAAATCACGATCTGTATTTGAATTTAATGTTCATGAAAACTTATCTTGGACATCTCCATATTCCATCAATCTGTCTGACAGATATTGAGCTTCTAAGTGAATTGTCGTGAACGATTATTGAGTTCTTGTGAGTACTAGATCCCAAATAATGAGATATCTGCCATAGATTACATTGCTTCTGGAATATCCTGAAAAAAAAATCGGATCAGTATTATGCTTCTCTGATTGCGCAATATATTATTCATTATAATTTACATCTATGAAAAAAAACATGGGTCAATCCTTCAGAGCACTGCTTCATTGAAACAACGACTGTTGATTGCCAAAATTGCAAAGATAATTTGGAAAAGAACTGGTATAAAACCACTGTTTATACCTAACTCTTGAAAACGACACCCTCCTTTGTAGAGAGGCATTACGAACGTCAAAGTTGATACACTCCCCTCGTAAGGGTACCGGACGTGATTCCATACACTCACGATGTCGAATAATTTTTCGACTCTTTGATTGAATGATTGATAAAAAAGTCGTTTTTTATGAAGAAATGCTCGAAGAAGAATAAAATCACGATCTGTATTTGAATTTAATGTTCATGAAAACTTATCTTGGACATCTCCATATTCCATCAATCTGTCTGACAGATATTGAGCTTCTAAGTGAATTGTCGTGAACGATTATTGAGTTCTTGTGAGTACAGGATCCCAAATAATGAGATATCTGCCATAGATTACATTGCTTCTGGAATATCCTGAAAAAAAAATCGGATCAGTATTATGCTTCTCTGATTGCGCAATATATCATTCATTATAATTCACATCTATGAAAAAAAACATGGGTCTATATCCTTCAGAGCACTGCTTCATTGAAACAACGACTGTTGATTGCCAAAATTGCAAAGATAATTTGGAAAAGAACTGGTATAAAACCACTGTTTATACCTAACTCTTGAAGACGACACCCTCCTTTGTAGAGAGGCATTACGAACGTCAAAGTTGATACACTCCCCTCGTAAGGGTACCGGACGTGATCCCATACACTCACAATGTCGACTAATTTTTCGACTCATTGATTGAATGGTTAATAAAAAAGTCGTTTTTCATGGAGAAATACTCGAAGAAGAATAGAATCACGATCTGTATTTGAATTAATGTTCATGAAAACTTATCTTGGACATCTCCATATTCCATCAATCTGTCTGACAGATGTTGAGCTTCTAAGTGAATTGTCGTGAACGATTATTGAGTTCTTGTGAGTACAGAATCCCAAATGATGAGATATCTGCCATAGTTTACATTGGTTCTGGAATATCCTGAAAAAAAAAATCGGATCAGTATTATGCTTCTCTGATTGCGCAATATATTATTCATTATAATTTACATCTATGAAAAAAAACATGGGTCTATCCTTCAGAGCACTGCTTCATTGAAACAACGACTGTTGATTGCCGAAATTGCACAGATAATTTGGAAAAGAACTGGTATAAAACCACTGTTTATACCTAACTCTTGAAGACGACACCCTCCTTTGTAGAGAGGCATTACGAACGTCAAAGTTGATACACTCCCCTCGTAAGGGTACCGGACGTGATTCCATACACTCACGATGTCGAATAATTTTTCGACTCTTTGATTGAATGATTGATAAAAAAGTCGTTTTTTATGAAGAAATGCTCGAAGAAGAATAAAATCACGATCTGTATTTGAATTTAATGTTCATGAAAACTTATCTTGGACATCTCCATATTCCATCAATCTGTCTGACAGATGTTGACCTTCTAAGTGAATTGTCGTGAACGATTATTGAGTTTTTGTGAGTAGAGGATCCCAAATAATGAGATATCTGCCATAGATTACATTGCTTCTGGAATATCCTGAAAAAAAAAATCGGATCAGTATTATGCTTCTCTGATTGCGCAATATATTATTCATTATAATTCACATCTATGAAAAAAAACATGGGTATATCCTTCAGAGCACTGCTTCATTGAAACAACGACTGTTGATTGCCGAAAGTGCACAGATAATTTGGAAAAGAACTGGTATAAAACCACTGTTTATACCTAACTCTTGAAGACGACACCCTCCTTTGTAGAGAGGCATTACGAACGTCAAAGTTGATACACTCCCCTCGTAAGGGTACCGGACGTGATTCCATACACTCACGATGTCGACTAATTTTTCGACTCTTTGATTGAATGATTGATAAAAAAAGTCGTTTTTTATGAAGAAATGCTCGAAGAAGAATAAAATCACGATCTGTATTTGAATTAATGTTCATGAAAACTTATCTTGGACATCTTCATATTCCATTAGTCTGACAGATGTTGAGCTCCTGAGTAAATTGTCGTGAACGATTATAGAGTTCTTATTGTGAGTAAAGGATCTCAAATGATATGAGATATATGCCATAGTTCACATTACTTCTGGAATATCCTGGAAAAAAAATCGGATTAGTATTGAGCTTCTCTGATTGCGCAATATATTATTCATTATAATTCACATCTATGAACGACATGGGTCTATCCTTCAGAGCACTGTTGATACACTCCCCTCGTGACCGGTACCGGACGTGATTCCATACTCTCACAATGTCGACTAATTTTCCGACTATTTGATTGAATGATGTCGATATGTCGTCTTTTATGAAGAAATGTTCGGAGAAGAATAGAAATATGATCTCTATTTGAATTCAATTCTCTAGAAAACTCATCTTGGAAATTTCCATATACCATTTAATCTGTCTGACAGATGTTGAGCTCCTAAGTGATGTGTCACAAACGAATATAGAGTTCTTGTGAGTACTGGTTCTGAAATGCTGGGATATCTGCCATAGTTCACATTGCTTCTGGAATATCCTGAAAAAAACCTCAGATTAGTATTATCTTCTTCCACGGCTATAATACAAAGTGTATACCTACTGTATTCCGATAGATCAATCATACCGTTGATGTCAATTTCATTTCCGTATCTGATATCTCAATGACTTCATTGATTGATTGATTGACTGATTTCATCAATGCATCACACTTGAGGTCTCGCGAAAATGATTACAGAGGTTCAAGTTTAAAATTGAGATTTTTCAACTTTAGTATGTTTTGTATCGAAACTATACATTATTATTGTTCGATACGAATTACATGTCCCTATATTGACTTTCGATTCACTATTTACCGACATTTATTTGGAACAGATACACAGTGATCAGAATTCTGAATCTTGAACCACCCTGTATATTTGTTCCAATTAAATAAATGTCAGTAGATAGTTGATCAGAAGTTGAGATATGGATATGTGAGCCGTTTCGAAAAGATGAGAAATCTCGATTTTGAACACCAGATACCTAATGTATACCGTCTAATTTACGCCAATCGTGAAAAGCCCTGTATACTATTTCGCGATATGCACTAGATTCATGCTTGAAACTGATACGAGCACTTTAGAGGACACGACAAAGACTGACAAGATTTCCCAAATCGTCCTCGTCCCGAATGACTAATAATCAGTTGCTTCACCTTTC